TAGGCCATAGTCTAGACTATAAACTAGACCATAGTCTAGACTATAAACTAGACCATAGTCTAGACTATAGACTAGACCATAGTCTAGACTATAGACTAGACCATAGTCTTGACTATAGACTAGACCATAGTCTAGACTATAGACTAGACCATAGTCTAGACTATAGACTAGAGTATAGACTATAAAATAGTCTAGACTATAGACTAGACTATAGACTATACTATAAACTGGACTATAGACTAGACTATAGACTAGATTATAGACTATAGTATAGACTAGACTACTCTAAGGACTCTAATGGAGGCTTTAACGGTTCATTGTGCGATTAAAACTTGTAGATCTCTCTTAAATAGTCTCCAATATAGTCCCTTGGTACATAACCCTTCTAAACTTTTGCTATAAATTCCCTTCTTTAATAAAACACTTTATTATAGTTATTTTTAAATATAAAAAATATATATATTTCATATATGTATAGAAAAACTTATAAATGTAATTGTGTATATTTATATCAAAAAAAAATTAAATTTATAGTTTCATTTGTTGTTGTATACGCTAATGATTTGTTTCATTTTTAAGTGGAAGTTTTGTTGAAAAGTATAAAGAGTTGTTGTTCGTTTAAGTAACTCATATAATTAGAAAAAAATGTCTTTTATATGTAACAAGTATTTATAAGAAAATTAATATTAATAATTAAAAAAAAAATTATAATAAAATAAATTAAATTACTTTTTAGATTTATAAGAAAAAATATGAAATTTATTATTTTAAAAAGAAATTTATGATAATTTTTATTAATAAATAAAATTAATATAATTTTCAAAGGATAATGAGTATAAATAATGAATGTTTCTTTGATTTTTTTTTTTTGAGGTTAGAAAAGTAAATTTTTTTTTTTTGAGATTAGAAAAAATGAATTTCATTGCTTAGTTTAGAAAAAAATTTGATTTTCTTTAGGTTTTTTAAGTTTTTTTTTAAGATTTTCTCTTTCTTTTAAATGTATTTTTTGTGTTTTTTTTCTTAAGTCTTATGGGTCTTTTTATAAATATTTAAAAAAATATTTTTTTTTCAATTTGTGTTTAAAAAGTAGTTTATATAAAAATATAGTTTTTTTATAAAAAAAATTTATTCATTTTTGTTTTTATAGTTTAACAATTATTGTATTTTTGTATAAATTTCTTGGCTTTTTTTATAAAATTTTTTTAAATTTTAGTTTTAATATCAATTCATAACTTGAAAATTTGTTCCAATGTTTGATTTATATAAAGCTGCCGTTTTGGAAAATAAATTTTTTTCATCCAATGCCTTTTAAACTTTAACTTGTAACTTTTCCATTTTCTTTATTAAACCAACATTTTCATCAACTTCACTTTTATTTCTTCATCTTGTCTTACAACTAAAAATAACTTATCAACTAATATTTATAAAAAAATAAAATTCAAGAAAAATCCAAATAATATATGAAAATAAATATGTATGTGTGTTAGGGCGAAAAGCAAAAAGAGTTATAAATCCTGCTGCGAGGTTGCTTTGCTATAGTACTAAAGCATTTAAAATAAAGTACAAGTTTCTGTTATAATAGTAGTTATAGTAATAATTATAATATATTTAGTATAATTTCTTAAACAAAGATGCTTTTTAAAAGTATCTTTAAGGTAATTTAATTAAGAGGAGAGCGAGAGAGAGAGATAGTAGAAAAATACACTTTTAATAGTATATTATTACACAAAGTATAATGAGAATGTTGCGTACTTATAATTAATAATGAAAATGTTTACAAAATTTATAAATGTTAAAAAAAAAATTAATTCATTTTATTAAAAAAAAACAAATTTTGTTTCAAAAGAATGTTAGTAAATGGTAAAAAAACTGGAGTTTTATAACATAAGACAAAGGGTAAGACAATATTGAACTGTTGCTGGAAACCCCATAGACTATTGGGTAGACTGAAGTCCAAACTATAGTACAGGCTATAGACTAGGCTATAGACTAGGCTATAGACTAGACTATATACAAGACAATAGTCTAGACTATAGACAAGACGAATAACTAGACTTTAGCCTGGAATTAAGAAGAGCCTATAGAATTCACTATAGACTAGACTATATAATTTACTATAGACTAGAATATAGACAAGACTATAGACTAGACTATAGACTAGACTATAGACTAGACTATAGACTAGACTATGGACTAGACTACAGAATAGACTATAGACTAGACTATAGACTAAACTATAGACTAGACTATAGTACTATAGTATAGACTATAGACTTGACCTAACTATAGACTAGGCTATAAACTAGACCATAGACTGGACATTAGGTTATAATCTAGACTAGACTCTAGATTGGGCTATAGACTAGTCTACAGACTAGACTACAGATAAAACTATAGACTAGAATATAGACTAGGCTCTAGACTAAACTATAGACTAGAGTATAGACTAAACTATAGACAAGACTATAGACCAGACTCTAGATTAAGCTATAGATTAGACAACAGACTGGATTATATACCAGGCTAAAGTAGAGTAGACTTTGATTGTACTATAAACCAGATTATAGACTATACTATTGATCAGATTATAGACTTAACTATAGACTGGATTATAGATCGTCTATAGACTAGACTGTATTGTAGACTATAAAGTAGACTATAGTCAAGACTTTGGTATATAGGTTAGTATATAGACTAATCTAGTTTACAGTCTATTCTATAGTCTACTCATTATCTAACATATAGTCTATAAACAAGAGTTTAGACTAGACTATAGAATAATAGAAATACAAGGCTATAGACTATAGATTAGACTATAGATTAGACTATAGTCTAGACTAGATAGACTAGACTATAGACTAGACTACTAGACTAGACTATAGACTAGACTATAGACTAGACTATAGACTAGACTATAGACTAGACTATAGACTAGACTATAGACTAGACTATAGACTAGACTATAGACTAGACTATAGACTAGACTATAGACTAGATTATATACTAGACTATAGACTAGACTATAGACTAGACTATAGACTAGACTATAGACTTAACTATAGACTATACTATACACTAGACTATAGACTAGACTATATACTAGACTATAGACTAGACTAGACTATAGACTAGACTATAGACTAGACTATAGACTAGACTATAGACTAGACTATAGACTAGACTATAGACTAGACTATAGACTAGACTATAGACTAGACTATAGACTAGACTATAGACTAGACTATAGACTAGACTATAGACTAGACTATAGACTAGACTATAGACTAGACTATAGACTAGACTATAGACTAGACTATAGACTAGACTATAGACTAGAAAGTAGACTATAGTCAAGACTTTGGTATATAGGTTAGTATATAGACTAATCTAGTTTACAGTCTATTCTATAGTCTACTCATTATCTAACATATAGTCTATAAACAAGAGTTTAGACTAGACTATAGAATAATAGAAATACAAGGCTATAGACTATAGATTAGACTATAGATTAGACTATAGTCTAGACTATAGACTAGACTAGACTATAGACTAGACTATAGACTAGACTATAGACTAGACTATAGACTAGACTATAGACTAGACTATAGACTAGACTATAGACTAGACTATAGACTAGACTATAGACTAGACTATAGACTAGACTATAGACTAGACTATAGACTAGACTATAGACTAGACTATAGACTAGACTATAGACTAGACTATAGACTAGACTATAGACTAGATTATATACTAGACTATAGACTAGACTATAGACTAGACTATAGACTAGACTATAGACTTAACTATAGACTATACTATACACTAGACTATAGACTAGACTATATACTAGACTATAGACTAGACTAGACTATAGACTAGACATAGACTAGACTATAGACTAGACTATAGACTAGACTATAGACTAGACTATAGACTAGACTATAGACTAGACTATAGACTAGACTATAGACTAGACTATAGACTAGACTATAGACTAGACTATAGACTAGACTATAGACTAGACTATAGACTAGACTATAGACTAGACTATAGACTAGACTATAGACTAGACTATAGACTAGACTATAGACTAGACTATAGACTAGACTATAGACTAGACTATAGACTAGACTATAGACTAGACTATAGACTAGACTATAGACTAGACTATAGACTAGACTATAGACTAGACTATAGACTAGACTATAGACTAGACTATAGACTAGACTATAGACTAGACTATAGACTAGACTATAGACTAGACTATAGACTAGACTATAGACTAGACTATAGACTAGACTATAGACTAGACTATAGACTAGACTATAGACTAGACTATAGACTAGACTATAGACTAGACTAGACTAGACTAGAGACTAGACTATAGACTAGACTATAGACTAGACTATAGACTAGACTATAGACTAGACTATAGACTAGACTATAGACTAGACTATAGACTAGACTATAGACTAGACTATAGACTAGACTATAGACTAGACTATAGACTAGACTATAGACTAGACTATAGACTAGACTATAGACTAGACTATAGACTAGACTATAGACTAGACTATAGACTAGACTATAGACTAGACTATAGACTAGACTATAGACTAGACTATAGACTAGACTATAGACTAGACTATAGACTAGACTAGAGACTAGACTATAGACTAGACTATAGACTAGACTATAGACTAGACTATAGACTAGACTATAGACTAGACTATAGACTAGACTATAGACTAGACTATAGACTAGACTATAGACTAGACTATAGACTAGACTAGACTATAGACTAGACTATAGACTAGACTATAGACTAGACTATAGACTAGACTATAGACTAGACTATACTAGACTAGACTATAGACTAGACTATAGACTAGACTATAGACTAGACTAGACTATAGACTAGCCCAAAGACTAGACTATAAACTAGCCCAAAGACTAGACTTTAGACTAGACTATAGACTATATACTATACTATAAACTAGCCTATAGACATGACAATAGATTAGACTATAGTCTAATTTATAAAAAAAAAGTATTTAAATTAATATGTAAATAATTATAAAAAAGTACATTTTAAACAAAATCTTATTTTATTGTCTTTTAACTCTTAAGTTATTTGCAAAGAAAATCTATTCAGTTTACCTTATAAAACTCCTGTTAGTTCACCATAAACTTGCCTTCTTGAGTGTGTGTGTTTTTGAACTCCTAAACATCTGCCTTTTGACCCACCACCGTAAAATAACTTGTTATTTTCCTTTCTTTCTTAACACTAGACGCCGATGATGTCGTTGTTTGTATACCACCGCTTGTTGTGCTTGTTGTCAAAATGCCAGCATTCTCTTTTTCGGGAGTAGTAGGAGTAGTGGCTGTTGTTACATTTTCCACTTGCATAGACACTGTCACCGATACTTGTTGTATACCTAAAGAGGTTTTTTGTGACACTACTTTAGTGGCTGTGGTCTTGGGTGGTGAGGGTGTACTGAGACATGATAGTGACGTGTTAGAGGAGGCCGTTGAAGGAGCCGGTGAATGTTGTTCAATTTTTTTGTGTTATAGTAAGAGGTAGTAATGTGGAAGTGGCGGCCTTTTGGCTTTGGTAAAGGGATTAGAGCCAATGTCCTTTAGAGGTGGTGGAGAGGGTATTATAGTTAAAGGTTTAGAGGTAGTTGAGGCCGATTTGAGTTTATTTAGTAAATCATAAGCACTTTGTATGGGATCATGGCTTATGTTGGAGCTGCTGATTAAAGGTGTGGAAGCCGTTATGGTGCTATCTTGTAGAGTATCATGGGGTAAGATTTCCTCTTCACAGTTAATGATTTTTTCATCAGTTTTAATTTGTTGTAATAGTTGATTTTGTAGTTCCTCTATAAGTTTCTTTTGTTTTTCCAATTCAGCCTTTAAACCTTTAGGTTTAGGTCCAGGACGCTTTTACTTTTAGGTGGCGATCCAACGCCATGAGGCGATATATGATCTCTTTCTATATGAGCGCGTACATTATATCTAGAAGAGTAACCACGTTGACATATCTCACATTTATAAGGCTTTTCTCCAGTATGAGTTCTCATGTGAACTTTACGATCAATATTACGCATAAATTTCTTATCACAATGTTCACATTGATAGGTTTTGGAAGCATCACCCATATGAGATTTTTTGTGAACACTTAGATTCTGATTGGCTCGGAAACATTTGTGACAAATATCACAAACGAAGGGCTTCTCACCGGTGTGAACGCGTACGTGTATTTTCAAATCTGAACTACGTACAAATGCCTTGGGGCACATGGAACATTGGAAACGTCTGTCATTGGTATGATGACGCATGTGTAGATTTAAATCCTGTTTAGTACAACAGCCCAGATTACAGACTTCACATTTGAATTTCTTTTCCTTGGAATGTCGTAGTTTGTGTTCACTTAAACGCATGCGTATGCGAAACTGTTTGCCACATTCATCACATTCAAAAGGTTTTTCACCCGTATGCACGCGTTGATGTTCCACCAGACGTATGTGTTTCTTAAAGGAGCGATTACACTGTTCACAGCAATAACGTTTAACTACCTGCATTAAAGTGGGTTTAATATCTTCAGGAGAATTTAATAATTCATTGGGCTGTGGCTCTAGTATAAGGGTTGTCTTGTTAGTTGTATCATTTGTTAGATTTAATACTTCATTGGGTTCAGACATCGTATTAATGATATAGGTTACGGCATTGACTTGTGTATTTTCCGGTTGTCTTTGCTGTTCGCCTAAAAGTATTTCATTTTGTATTTGTTCTATAATATCATTGACAGGATCAGCATTAAGATCTTGCATTTCGGTATCCTGCTGCTGCTGCTGATAATGAAGGGTTTCTGCCTGCAATTGCTTTTCTACACTAAGAGCTGTTGCTGCTGGAGCTGTACCCAAAGTAGTTTTATTAATATCCTTCTCTATCTTAGCCTGTTGCAGTTCGTGTATTATTTTCTTTTGATATTCCAATTCTTCTCTTAAAACCTTAGAATTGGGTCCTGATTTCTTTTTACCTCTAGGCGGTTTACCCACCACACCATCCTCTGGCAAATGGTCTCTTTCAATGTGTGTTTGGACATTAAGTTTGGAAGCATAACCCTGTAGACAAATGCCACATTTGAATTTCTTTTCACCCGTATGCGTTCTCATATGCACCTTAAGATCGGTATTACGTAGAAACTTTTTATCGCAATGTTCACATTCAAAGTTTTTCGAAGCCTCTCCCATGTGAAACTTTTTGTGCATGGTCAGGTTTTGTTTGGCTCGGAAACTTTTTTGACAAATATCACACTGGAAGGGTTTTTCGCCGGTGTGTACTCTCTTGTGGATTTTTAAACTTTCTCTTCGTGTAAATTTCTTATCGCATTCATCACATTGCATTTCATTATCACTAGTTTCCGGCTCTAGTTCGGTTTCAGTTACTTCCTGTTTGGTAAGTTTTTTAATTTCTGCCGGTTTGCTAGACTTTCTGCTGGTTTCTTTAGTTGCTGCCGGTTCCTGTGTTGTTATAGGTTCCTCTATAGGTTCTACTACTTTTATTGATTTTCTAGCTCTTTTTGTTTCTTGCGTTGTTGCCGGTTCTGAGTTTGTAGGTTTCTTTGTTTCTACAGTTTCTACTGCAGGTTCTTGTACAGGTTCCTCTTCAGCTTCTACAACTTTTATTGCTTTCCTAGCTCTTTTTGTTTCTTGCGTTGTTGCTGCTTCTGATTTTGTAGGTTTTTGGTTTTCAACAACTTCTACTGGTTCTGGTGTTGCTGGTTTATTTAAATCCACCGCTCTTGTTGATTTTCTTCTGGCTTTGGTTGCTGTGCACTCTACAGCAGTTGCTTCCTCATTAGATTCTTGCAATTTTGTCGTTGTTTTGACTTCTACCTTTGCTGTAGCTTCTGTTTTCGCAAGTTTCCTTGATTCTTTCGTTTCTACTGTTTCTTGCATTTCTTGTATTACTGGTTTCTTGGTTTCTTGTGCCTTAATTGTTTTTCTTGCCTTTTTATTTCCTGCAGTTTCTGCAGGAGTTGTTGGTCGCTTTGTTTCGTTAGACTTTGTCAATAGAGAGCACTCTGTAGATACCTCATTAACCACAGCTATTGCTTCATTTGTTTTTGTGGTTTCTTTACTTTCAGCTGGTTCTACCGATTCTGCTGGTTTCTTGGCTTCTGCAGCTTTTGTCGCTTTCTTATTTTCCTTATGTTTTGTCGTATCCACAACAGTTGCAGCTTTATTTTGTGCGGTTTTTGCAGTTTTCTTGGTTTCTATTGTTTCTGGAGATGTGGATTTCTTAATTTCTATTGTCTTAGTAAGTTTCTTGACCTCTGTAGTTTCTATAGAAGGTGTTTTCCTCAATTCAGTAGATTTTGTAGGTTCCTTGAGTTCTTCAGTTTCTGTCGCAGTTTCCTTATTAGATTCCGTTGATTTTGTAGATTTCTTAATTTCTATTGCTTCTGGAGATGCTGTTCTTTTTGATTCTGTGGATTTTGTGCGTTTCTTGCTTACTTTAGTTTCTGTAGTTTTTGGCGGAATTGTTTCATTAATTTCAGGCATTTTTATTATGTTTTCGGATTCCCTAGATACTGTAATTTCTTGATTGCTGCTGGCTGATTTGTTGTCTTCATTATCTATAGTTTTTACAGCTTCAATGATATTTACAGTTTCCATAACTTGAGTTGTTCCTGCAGGAACGATTCTTTCCGAGATATTTACAACTGTAGGGTTGGGCTAAAATGAAGGTGAAAACAATAGGTTATTACGGCGCAAGTTAGAACAGATAAATTCAAAATTAAATAGAAATAATGAGCTAGAACTGAACTAGAACTGAACTAGAACAGAACTAGAACTGAACTAGAACTGAACTAGAACTGAACTAGAACTGAACTAGAACTGAACTAGAACTGAACTAGAACTGAACTAGAACTGAACTAGAACTGAACTAAAACTGAACTAGAACTGAACTAAAACTGAACTAGAACTGAACTAGAACTGAACTAGAACTGAACTAAAACTGAACTAGAACTGAACTAGAACTGAACTAGAACTGAACTAGAACTGAACTAGAACTGAACTAGAACTGAACTAGAACTGAACTAGAACTGAACTAGAACTGAACTAGAACTAGAACTGAACTAGAACTGAACTAGAACTGAACTAGAACTGAACTAGAACTGAACTAGAACTGAACTAGAACTGAACTAGAACTGAACTAGAACTGAACTAGAACTGAACTAGAACTGAACTAGAACTGAACTAGAACTGAACTAGAACTGAACTAGAACTGAACTAGAACTGAACTAGAACTGAACTAGAACTGAACTAGAACTGAACTAGAACTGAACTAGAACTGAACTAGAACTGAACTAGAACTGAACTAGAACTGAACTAGAACTGAACTAGAACTGAACTAGAACTGAACTAGAACTGAACTAGAACTGAACTAGAACTGAACTAGAACTGAACTAGAACTGAACTAGAACTGAACTAGAACTGAACTAGAACTGAACTAGAACTGAACTAGAACTGAACTAGAACTGAACTAGAACTGAACTAGAACTGAACTAGAACTGAACTAGAACTGAACTAGAACTGAACTAGAACTGAACTAGAACTGAACTAGAACTGAACTAGAACTGAACTAGAACTGAACTAGAACTGAACTAGAACTGAACTAGAACTGAACTAGAACTGAACTAGAACTGAACTAGAACTGAACTAGAACTGAACTAGAACTGAACTAGAACTGAACTAGAACTGAACTAGAACTGAACTAGAACTGAACTAGAACTGAACTAGAACTGAACTAGAACTGAACTAGAACTGAACTAGAACTGAACTAGAACTGAACTAGAACTGAACTAGAACTGAACTAGAACTGAACTAGAACTGAACTAGAACTGAACTAGAACTGAACTAGAAACTGACTAGAACTGAACTAGAACTGAACTAGAACTGAACTAGAACTGAACTAGAACTGAACAGAACTGAAACTAGAACTGAACTAGAACTGAACTAGAACTGAACTAGAACTGAACTAGAACTGAACTAGAACTGAACTAGAACTGAACTAGAACTGAACTAGAACTGAACTAGAACTGAACTAGAACTAGAACTGAACTAGAACTGAACAAGAACTAAACTAAAACTGACTAGAACTGAACTAGAACTGAACTAGAACTGAACTAGAACTGAACTAGAACTGAACTAGAACTGAACTAGATCTGAACTAGATCTGAACTAGATCTGAACTAGAACTGAACTAGAACTGAACTAGAACTGATCTAGAACTGATCTAGAACAGATCCAGAACTGAACTAGAACTGATCTAGAACTGAACTAGAACTGAACTAGAACTAAACTAGAACTGAACTAGGACTGAAAATAGAACTGAACTAGAACTAAATTTATACATATATCGTTTTTGACATACCTCCTCCTGAACTTTGGCAGTATTCCTGGTATTTCTTTTCGGTCTTTTATTAGGTGAAACTAAAGGTTTTAAGGGTGAAGTGCGTCTTTTATTTCTGGTTTTCTTAGGAGCAACAGTTGTTGGAATATCCGTGTCATTTTCATTAGAATTGAAATTATCATTTGTAATAATTGCCTCCATCGAATCAGCACCTATTTTAGCAGCCAAAGAACTGCTAGAAGTTAAAGTTGAAGTAGTAGGCTGTTCCGGGTTAATATCTTCCATATCCAAAGTTTCATCTAAAGCAGCTAAAGTGGCAGCCTCATTTTCTGGAGATATGCTAATATCTAAAGGAATTTCTGCTGGTATGGAAACCATAGCCTGAGGAGCAGCACGACTTGATTGACCACCCACCACATCACTAATAACAAACATTTCTTGTTTTATCTCCACTTTAGGCACCACATTCAACTCATTGCGACAACCCTCAAAAATGCGATGCTGTTGACGCAAATGTTTCTCAAACAAATCCAAATTCGCATATTTACACTCACAATAGCCACAGACTAAAAACAATTTACGATGATTCAGCATGAAAACATTGCCACACGATTCTAGTGGTTCGGCTAAAACGGATAGAGGCAAGGCAACAGGTGGTTCTGGCGCCATAGTTGTTGAATCAAAACATTGTAGAGGTTCTTTCTTGATAGAGGTGGTGTTTACTTTTGGCGCATTATTACGATTGCTTTTACGTACATTACGCGGGGCATTTTCCTTTTCAGGATCTTCATCGAAATGGAAGAGTTTATGGGCCTCATGGAGATGTCGACCAAAGTTTTCCAAATCACCATATTTCAGATCACAGAACTCACAATTGAATATGAGTTTTTGTTGTAGATTGAAAACGTATATATTGCCACAGGATTCTGTTTCCGAAGTATCAGAGCCTATAGTGGAAGCTAGACTACAGGTGGAGTTATTACTACCACGGCGACTTTTGGCTGGAGGAATGGAGAGTGTTACAGGTTGGCTGGAATTTACTTTATTGAGCTCCAATGTTTTGCTGATTTCTTCCGCTGTAGGGGGTTTATTGTTTTTGTCATTATTTTCCTGTAATTTATTTTGCGTTTTCTTTTCTGTTATAGTGTTAGTGTTGTTGTTGTTGTTATTGTGTGGCTCTTTTTGTAAGTTTTCGGCTGCTAAAGTGTTCTCTGCCAGCTTGAGGCGAGGTGAAATTCTTTGTTTCTGTTGAGTTTCCTCTTTGTTGTTTTCATCTGTGTTTTTTAGTTTGTTAACAGATTTAGTGGAAGAGCTATTACTATTTTGGCTATTCCTGGAAGAACTGCGTGATGTTTTTAAGGAATCGCGTCTGGATTTCTTGCCTTCGATTTTGTCCGGGAAGCGTATTCTTTGGGCTTCCAATTCAGCTTCTTCATCACTGCTTATTAACATGGTGGCTTCTTGCTCAATTTCTAAGGCATCGGTTTCGGTATCAGACTCCTCTTCTTCTTCATCCTCATCTTCTTCGTCATCCTCATCGTCTTCTTCATCATCTTCATCCTCATCATCCAAATCTTCATCTGTCTCATTTATATCCTCATCTTCTTTAGCCATTTCTACTGCCTTCAAGTCTTTAGCTGGTCTCTCATTGACCTCCTCTTCCTCCACTTCAGTAACTTCCATTTTAATGGGCACATGCTCCAATAAAGTGTTGATCATTTTGTTAACTTGAGATTTCATAGAAAACACAAAACCATAAACACTAAAAATTTTCTTTGTTTCTTTTTTTTTAACTTGTTGTAATTATTTCTTTGTTTTATTATTTCGTACTTTAGTATAAACTTTTCTTTCTTTTCTCGAGTTAAATTTTATAATTTTTATTTAATTAATAATAAATTTTGTTTAATTTCTTCTTAACAATCATTGCCTTCTTTTTTCTTTGCTCTTTACACACTCAACAAATTAAATCCACTGACGCCGCTTTTTTTCCTCTGTACATTTTCTTGTTGTTTTTGCTTTGCTTGCTTTATCTTCCACAACAAAAATGTTTTATTTTTTTTTGCTATTGTATTGTTGCTTTTAACACTCACACATTCTCATGCACTCTCATGACATTTTTTGTTTTTGCTTTGTTTGTCTTTTTTATAATATTTCTCTGCATAAGTGGTTGTTGTTATTTTTCTCATAATAAATTTCTTGTTGCTTGACGTTGTTTTTTGTTATTGTGAGTTTTTTTTTTGGTTTATTTATGTTTGTTGGTATTTGTTTTGATTTTTTGCACACACTGTTGTGTAAAAAAGTTTTTTTTTGTATTTTGTATAACAAATTTGTTTGTCGTAGGTCAGACTAAGATGGCTGTTGTGTGTTTCTATTCATATATGTGGATAATATTTAACATCTCTTTCTAGCTAATAGCATTAAGTGATCTCGTTGAAATGGTAGAGTTGTGGAAGGTAGTGGTAAAGTAAGAGTTGTATTTTAAAGTAGTAGATAAACAAGGTTGTGTTAAATGTTTAGGTTTTATGAAAAAAATAAACGTTGTGGTAAAATTATGGCAAGAAATAAAATTAATAAAAAATGGAAACAAAATTAAAATGAGATAATGAATACTCTATTTTCTAGTTCACTTTAAAAAAATAAAATTCTAGTTCTTTACTAGTTCAGCTCTAGTCCGGTTCTAGTTCAGCTCTAGTTCACTTTTAGTTCATTTCTAGTTCAGTTCTAGTTCAATTCTAGTTCAGTTTTAGTTCAGTTCTAGTTCAGTTCTAGTTCAGTTCTAGTTCAGTTCTAGTTCAGTTCTAGTTCAGTTCTAGTTCAGTTCTAGTTCACTTCTAGTTCAGTTCTAGTTCATTTAGTTCAGTAGTTCAGTTTTAGTTCAGTTCTAGCTCAGTTCTAGTTCAGTTCTAGTTCAGTTCTAGTTCAGTTCTAGTTCAGTTCTAGTTCAGTTCTAGTTCAGTTCTAGTTCAGTTCTAGTTCAGTTCTAGTTCAGTTCTAGTTCAGTTCTAGTTCAGTTCTAGTTCAGTTCTAGTTCAGTTCTAGTTCAGTTCTAGTTCAGTTCTAGTTCTAGTTCAGTTCTAGTTCAGTTCTAGTTCAGTTCTAGTTCAGTTCTAGTTCAGTTCTAGTTCAGTTCTAGTTCAGTTCTAGTTCTAGTTCAGTTCTAGTTCTAGTTCTAGTTCAGTTCTAGTTCAGTTCTAGTTCAGTTCTAGTTCAGTTCTAGTTCTAGTTCAGTTCTAGTTTAGTTCTAGTTTAGTTCTAGTTCAGTTCTAGTTTTTAATTTGTTCTTTATTCTCCTTTATAAATATGTAACTTAATTATGTTCAAAATTAAATTATCTACTACTTTTTATAGAAAAGGGATTTTTGAAATAAATTTTGAAAATTTTTGCAGTTTTTGAACTAAAATTAAGATTTGTAGGCTTTTTAAGAAATTTTATTAAAAAAAATGTTAAAAATAATCAACATTTAAAATAGTAGTATTTTAGTATTTTTTACAAAAATAGGCTTTTTGGATAGCATTTTTAAATTTTGGGCAGTTCTTGGATTAAAATTAAGATTTATAAACTTTTGTAACGAAATTAAGCAATTTTGAAAAAAGTAGTATTTAAGTATTTTTTACAAAAATAAGCATTTTTAGTACTTTTTTAAAAATATTTATTTTTTAAAATTTTCTTTATTCTTCTTCATAAACAAGTTATTTATTCAGTTAAAAATGTAAAAAATAAACAAGTTTTAAAAAGTAGAATTTTAGTACTTTTTATAAAAAGAGAATTTTTGGCATAAATTTTGAAAATTCGTGCAGTTCTTGGGCTAAAATAAGAATTTTTAACCTTTTTTAACAAAATTCTTTTAAAAAAATTTAAAAATAATCAACTTTTAAAAAAGTAGTATTTTAGTGCTTTTTACAAAACTCGCTTTTTTGGTCTAAATTTTTAAATTTTGGTCAGTTCTTGGACTAAAATTAAGATTTATAAACTTTTTGTAACGAAATTAAGCAATTTTGAAAAAGTAGTTTTTAAGTACGTTTTACAAAAATGTGCGTTTTAGCATAAATTTTGAAAATATGTGCAGTTCTTGGACTAAAATTAACATTTTTATTATTTTTTAACTAAATTCTATTAAAAAAATTTTAAAATTAATCAACTTTTAAAAAAGTAGTATTTTAGTACTATTTACAAAAATTTGTTTTTTGCCTAAATTTTCAAAATTTGTGCAGTTCTTGGACTAAAATTAATATTTATAAGATTTAAGTAATGAAATTAAGCAATAATAATAAAAAGTAGTATTTTAGTACTTTTTTCAAAAACATAGATTTTTTGCAATTTTTCTTAATTTTAATTTTTAAATAACTAGATTCTGTTAAATATATATAAAAATAAACAAGTTTTAAAAAAGTAGTATTTTAGCACTTTTTTTAAATATAGAATTTTTTACTTTTTTACAACTTTTCTTTATAAAATAAGTAATTTTTATTAAATAAAACATAAAAATAATGAAATTTAAAAATGTAGTATTTTACTACTTTTTTCAAAAGTTTTAAATTTATGTAAAATTTTTATAATTTTTACGAAATTGTTAAATTATTTGAGTTTTAGTTCGTTTCTAAGACATTTTTAATTTAAATTCTTAACTCTACTACATTTTTTAAACAACTCTTCATACTAAAAAGATCAGTTTATGATTTTATCACCGTTTTTACTGTTACTTTATATACTCTCTTAGTCGTTTATATTTAAAGAGAGAGACAGAGAGTTTATATAAATCATATAAAAAGCTCATAAACAAATAAAATCCAAAACTGGTTTTAAATTTGATGACTTGTGTTGTTTTGTCTATATACTAGAAGTTGTATTGTTGTTGTTTTAATGATGTATAAAAAACAAATACATACATACAATCAAAATAAAAACAACAAACTGCATTAAACACTAAAATCAAATGAAAACTACAAAAAACACTATGGCAATGACAATAAAAAAAACAGCAACAACTATTAAAATACTCACATATTTTATTAGAGTTTCAGTATATCATCGTTAAAGTTTGTTTGTATGTGTGTGTGTATTCAAAAATGTCGAAAGATTGAAATATGACTCTTTCATTAAATGAATATTTACAGTTTTTCTTGTGCTTTTATTTTAAAAGATTTTAAGACGTAAACGAATAGATAACATTGCGAAAAGTATGAATGTGAGAAAAGCATTAACATGAAGAAAAATAAGACTAAGCGTATACGTGACAAATTGCTAATACGCCTTAGTTGAAGAAACTGTACTTATTTTATAACACTTTTATTAAAGCAAATAAAGATTTATTGAGTTTTTTTTGTTAAAAACATAGAAAAGGGTTGAAATTGTTTTGGATTTTTAACAGAAAATTTTTAAAATTTCATTAAAAAACTCGTTTTGAAAAAAGTAGTATTTTAGTACTTTTTTAAAATTGATATTTTCTTAGCAAATTTGATGTTTTTATGATTTTTAAGGTATCACTTAACATTTGAGACCAAAAATAACGATTTTAAAAAAAGTAGTATTTTTAGTACTTTTTTAAAAATGTAAAATTTTTCTTATTTTTTCAGTTTATTTAAAAAAATATTAATTTTAGGGTTGTTAAATCAAAAAATAAGCTTATTTAAAAAAGTAGTATTTTTAGTATGTACTCTTTTAAAAATTTATTTTTTTTAATTTTTTTTTTTTAAGTTTCTAGCAATAAATAATCTTCTCATAAATTTTCTTAATATTTGTGATAAAATATAAAAATTACTACTTATTTTAGTACTTTTTTAAAAAATGTAGTTTTTTTATAACATGTTTTTACAGTTTCTTATTATAAATAAGATTTTTTTATAAATTTTCTTAACATTTGACAACAAAATTAATAATTTTGAAAATAGTAGTATTTTACTACTTTTTTTAAATACCGATTTTTTTTTAATTTTCAATTTATTTACAAAAATAAACATTTTTTTATTTGTTAGAAACCTAAAATGAGCCATTTTAAAAAAATAGTATTTTTAGTACTTTTTGCAAAAATAATTTTTTTTCTTCTTTTTAGACTTTTTTGTTTAGATGCTTAAAAATTGAAGAAAAATTTAGTATTTTTAATAACTTTCTTATATTCTATTTATTTTTAATACCTTTTTAAAATATGTATCTCTTCCATATTTCAATAACAATTTGTGGTCTTTTTCTCTTTCCACTTTAATCCTCTTTAAAGAATTAATTTTTTACTAAAAATCCTCTTTCCTATTATTTCTGAAGTACATTAATCATAATATATTAAATGCCTTTATGTCAACATGTGCATTTTATATGTATTATTTTACCGTTATCACAATATCATTTTATTTTATTTATTATTTTCGTTTTTCTGTCATATTTCCATTACTCATTTAAAGGATTTTCTTTTTTTTCTTCCTTTCTACTTATGTATATGATGAATATTTCCTCCTGTTTCACCTTGCCACCCTCTTTGATATACATAGACAGCCAATAGCTCTCAATAAACGCATTAATATTGCATGCCATCAGGGATGTATAGTCTAGTCTAGTTTATAAACTAGACAATAGTCTAGTTAACAGACTAGTATGTTGTTTAGTCTAAAACCTACTCTATAGTCTAGTGTATAGTCTAATCTATAAAGCAGTTTACACACTAGACTATAGGTCTAGTCGTCTATAGTCTAGTCTATAGTCTAGTCATAGTAGGTCTCCTATGTCTTAGCTAGTCTATAGTCTAGTCTATAGTCTAGTCTATAGGCTAGTCTATAGTCTAGTCCTATAGTCTAGTCGATAGTCTAGTCTATAGTCAGTCTATAGTCTAGTCTATGTCTAGTCTATAGTCTAGTGTCTAGAGTCTAGTTCTATAGTCTAGTCTATCGTACTAGTCTAGTCTATAGGTCTAGTCTAGTCTTAGTCTAGTTTATAGTCTAGTCTATAGTCTAGTCTATAGTCTAGTCTATAGTCTAGTCTATAGTCTGAGTCTATAGTCTAGGTCATGCCTAGTCTATAGTCCTAGTCTATAGTCCTAGTCTATAGTCCTAGTCCTATAGTCTGGTCTATAGTCTGGTCTATAGTCTAGTCTATAGTCTAGTCTATAGTCTGGTCCTATAGTCTAGTCTATAGTCTAGTCTATAGTCTAGTCTATAGTCTAGTCTATAGTCTAGTCTATAGTCTAGTCTATAGTCTGGTCTATAGTCTAGTCTATAGTCTAGTCTATAGTCTAGTCTATAGTCTAGTCTATAGTCT